GGTGTCCCTCGCTCTCTGCCGTCGCCACTGAATCCAGCAAGCGTACTGACAAGTGACATGTTTTAGCCGTGGTCGTCATCCTGGTCCGGTTGTAGTTTTGTGTTCAACGAAGAATATACGATCCGCCTATCTATCGCTATGGGCATCAACTACAAATCGACTCGAAATGGATGACATTGTGGTTTGTGGTAGCTACCGACATTTCAAAAATGCATTCGCTTTATCGCATCGTCCCTTTAACAGAATTACGTCGCAACCACATGTGGGATTAGGGTTAAGAAGAAGAAATTGTGATTGTGATTGAAGTTGATTGCTGAACAATGCCTTACATTTGGGTTTAGGGTACACACGCGTCACACCTATTGGTGGGGGCGAAGGGCGCGAACACCATAGTACACGGCCAGCGGTGGCAACGCGGCGACGGCCACACCCGCAGCAACGACACCCGCAACGACGGCCACGCCCGCACCGACCGTGCCGACGACCGCCTTGGTCATAAACCGGACTGGCGCGACGGGGCCAAAAAACTTGTGTTTGGAGCGGAGGTACGCGAGTGGCCAGCACAGCACCGCGTTGTGGTCGTCCCACTTGGTACGGCAGCGCCAGCAAAACTGATAGTAGCAATGCGTGCACGTCATGTGGTTGCAGCCGCCGTGCTTCTCGATGGTCGCCGAGCACAGTGGGCAATGCTGCGCGGCGTGGGCGTGGCACCACGACCGATACGCGCGGTCGCACTGTGGCCACCGGTGGTACGCGCCGCCGCAGTCGCGGCACGACGCATGGTGGCAGCTCTTGCAGTCGACGCGGCGCTTGGTCTTCTTCTGGCGCAATGTCGGCGACGGTAGCAACTGGCCGCACTGGGGGCGTGGGCAAAAGCGGTGCCCGCGCTGCCGGTGCTCGTACGCCTCGAGGAAAAGCACGTACTTTTGTACGAGGCTCGTCGACACGACCTGTGCAAGCGCGAGGCGCGGAATCGGTCGTCGGCATGGCCCGGGGCACACGAGCTGGTGCGGCGCGACCTGGCCATTGACAATCTTGTGCGTCACATACAGGCGGTAGCAGCCGCCGCAAAAGATGGCGTCGCAGTCGATGCACCGGTGCACGCGCACGTCGTCGTCGGCAGCGGGCCGTGGCACCTCGAGGCAGATCAAGCACGAGGCGTCGAGATGCGCCGGCGCGATCGCATTTTGGCGCTCAAGGAAGCCCGAGGCCTCGCTGTCTTCGTCGTCCGAGACCCACGCGTAGTGCATGCCGGACTGGGCTGTTGCGATCTTTGCGAAATGGCAAGATTTGTCGGTTACAAGACCCGCAACACGGGACTTTGATGGCCATTCTTCCGTCCTGTCCAGAGAGAAGAAGCAAATAGCAGCGTGTGGCTAGTTCGTACGCATCGGTGGCAGCGGAACATTTGCTGACAGAGATAGTTTCGATCCTGAGAAGCTGCACTTGCCACCTCATGCATTCTAAAATGCAGCAAATACATCAAATATACGCTCGGCCTACCGTAAACGAGCTCGACGAAGGGAGCTCACGGAGAGAATTCAGGTCGAATTCCCTTGCTTGCTTTGCGCTCGGCATTGTAACGATGGCCTTGGTGAGACGCATGCTCTTGCGAGTGGTCGCTCGACAGCGAATCTTTGGACCGTCAAGCGAGATTGCTCGTCGTGGGTTCTACCAAGGGCGAATAAAAAATGCTTTGATTCGATCGAGCTGCTTGCAGTGATGGGGCCGTGCAACCAGCGCTGCATTGGCTCGAGCAGAAATTCACCACCTGAAAATTCCAAAGTATCAACGTAGCAACTGTCGGTAACAAGAGCCATAATACGGTGGTAAGCTTGAAAACGACACGGTGACTTCCCGACACACGAGCACTCGCAAGACGACCCGCTGCGTTTATACCTGGAGCGCAATGTGGCATCAGATGGACGCGAGGACTTAAAGCTTCTCCCCATCACCCTTTGGACGAGCACCTTGAACGTCGACGGACACGAGCTTTTTGGACCGGTAAAAAGTCGTACTTCAAGGAGGCTTTCTACTTCAAGGAAGAACGTCATGCACTTGTGGTGACGTCGGTGGGATCTGCAGAGTTCTCCAAGCCGACGCGCCGCCGTGTCGGTTAAAAGAACCTGTCTACGGTACAAAACCCACCCAACCACGCTTCGAATCCGGATAGTACTCGCGAGAGTTGTCAAAAGCTCGGAAGTACAATGTGATCCGATACCGAGTACGTGAGCTCGCTATTGTCCTCGCCGTGTGGTTCTTGCTGCGCTGTGGCTAGCGTTGGCGAACGAGCGCCTTTGCACTGTCGTGTGGCCGATGTTGCAGCTCTGTGCCTGGCGTCTTGTTCGAGGCGCACATTGTTGGGATGATGGGCGGGCAAGCAAAGTACCCACGCGTCTGATGCTTCGAACGTCCCTTGGTTCAACAAGTAGCTCAGATATCATTCGCATTTTCTGTTTATGTGAGCCATCGAACGCTCCATGAATATCTCCGTGAGCCATTCGTCGTGAGACGGGAGAAGCGAGCGCGCCGCCGCCATGTCGGCCTCACCTCTCTGTCTCGCCTTGTCTGCATGATAGTGCAATATCAAGTGCAAACTCGGCCGGTTATGGTTGAAAAGGCAAAAAGGGCGATGTCGTCTTATTAAATATGAAGCGGTAGTTTGAGGTACTGTATAGATATAGGCGCGTGCTGAGTCGATGGTCCATCGGCTCTTCTATCGATCGATGATAATGGTACGAGCACGCTCAGTTCTTAGCAGCTCGTGCGACTTGCGTCGACATATGGGCGCGATCGGGCGGTAATGTCGGACGACGTCGAGTGGCGCCGCGCGCGCATCTTGCGCATGGTCTCGAGGTGGTGGCGGAACGTGTCGAGGGCTTCCGTGGCACGCTCGGGTTCGGCTGCAAAGTCGACCTCTTTGAGGTCTTGCAGAAGATGGTGCATGGCTTCGTCGACAATGGTGTTACGTCGCCGGCCGTCGCTCGAGCCGCTGCTGCTGCTGCGCGACGAGCTCGTCGAGGACGAGCTTCCGATCGTGATTGCATGCGGTGCCTTGATGCGAACTTGGTGCGCAGCGATGGTCGTGACGGGCATGGTGAGGCGGGTGGTTGGTGCGGGCGAGTCGCAAATCAAAAGTGGCGTTGTGACCATCGTGCGTAATAAGTACAGTCGAGTGCCAACGGTCTCGTTCACGGTCAAATGAAGTCTGGTGCAAGGCCCGCAATTTCCCGGTCTCAAAAACACGGTATTTGGCCAAAGACACGGTCGGTACGCCCGACCATCGGTGCGACATGTGCGATTGAACCTGCTGCGTCAGCGGCCTTGGATTGGCCAATGTTATGATGGGCGAGCAAGTGATTGGCCGTTACAAAGCGCTCGGAGCCGTCCGTTTTTATTCCACATGCGCTAAATCGTATGATTGGATACATGGATCGCACAGAGCCACGCCCGCATCGATGCCCAGCTGCACCCGCGTCCTGTATCAGCCGTCGACCACCCATGCAACTCGACTCGATGCCTCGACAAAGCGAGACGCTCACTACTGTACTGAACGCGTGCGGTAGAGGATCGGTAGATCTCGCCTCATCTAATACCATTCGCACATATTTGGCGGCCAGTGACACACCAAATGTCGTTTACTGGTCAGTGGACGCGGCGTGGGACAAGCGATGCAGTAACCGGCGACGATCCATCGACGGATTGCCCGCCGCCATCCTAGTTCATTTACGCGACGGCGAATTATGCGATGCATGGACAGGGCGGGCGTGTCGAACGGCCGCTGAACGGTGGCGAAGGACCATCAACGAAGCGCCGCGAGGAGCGTTACGACGCAGGTCATCAGACCACGAGTGAGTGCCGTTGCGTCAACCGAACCTGGATGGCGAAGTCCCGAGTCTTCGTTGTTGCTTGTTCTTATACTACGAGTCCTTGCTACAGCTACTTGCTTGATGCAAGCTACTGGGACGAGAGGCGATGCCAAGAGGTGCGACAACATCAAGAATGTGGTGTCGTTTACTGCCAGCACAAACCTTGAGCGTACATGGCCCAGACGCTCGGCGATTCCATGCGACGCCGCCACAACGACCCACACACGACGCTTGGCCGCTCGTCGAAGCGTTCGACGCGCAGTAGACAGACGACCACGTTTGGCAGGGTCTGGCGACACACCCAAGGCAAGTAGCTTCAAGGAAGACATGTTACGAGCTCGCTTGACGCTTCAAGTATGTAGCAGTAGTACTCACACCAACAACGACCCGCTGGGTTGCAGACCAGGCAAGCACACCCAAACGAACCTGGGAGGCCGCGGTCTGTCACGCCATGACGTGGCGCCACCTGCACCCAGATGGGCAATCTGTAACGGTTGTCCAATGTGTAAAGTTCGACGGCGCCGGCCCGCGCGGCCAGACAACGGGCAGGTAGCAAAACCTGGCACGCTTGCGCATTGGCACGTACGGCTGTCGCGGCTGTCCTGGAGTGAGCCGCGGACCGCCGTACGATGCAATTCCTACGCGACACTGCCTCATCCGCATTTGGTGTTAACGACAAGCAACACAGAGTCTATTAGATAAAGAACGATACGGCGGCTATTCGTCGTCGTCGAGGCCGAGAAAGGCAGCGACGAGCTCGCGGAGACAGTCGACATACATGGTCCAGACGCCCTTGGACTCGCGATGGCCTTGGCATGCGCGCACGAGCTGGTAGCCGGCGACACAGGGCAGCCCGAGCCCGACGACGGCGAGCAAGACGACAACTTCCAGCGCGACGACGCCTGTCACGACGGCGCCGTGGGCGACGGCACCAAGCAGCGAGCGCTGGCCGTGCTTGGACCACGGGCGGCCGGACGCCCAATCAAACTCAAAGTGGCATTGGCTGCATGCAACGTGGTTGCAGCCACCGTTCTTCTCGATCGTGAAGCGGCAGTTGGGGCACTGCTGGGATTTCGTGGCCTTGACCCACTTTTTGTAGAGCTTGTCGTTGCACGTCGCGCGCGGTAGACGATGGTAGTCGTCGCCGCATCGGAGACACGACCGCTTCTGGCACACGTTGCAGTCGACGCGGCGCTTGAAGAAGAGGCTTTCTTTGGTTTGGACTGGGATTGGCGCACCGCAGTTTGTGCGCGGGCAAAAGAGGCCGCCGCGCGCGCGGTGCTCGGAGCTCGCAAAGAAGGTTTGAAACTTGCGCAGCGTCTCGGGCGGGAGGTGGAACTCGAGGTCGTTCATCGTGACTGCGACGCCACACGCCTCGCCGGGACACACGAGGTGCGACGGCAGCACGAGGCCGTCGTTGATTTTTGTTACCAAGTACGTTTGGTAGCATTGCATGCAAAAGGCGCTCGAGCATTCGCGGCACTGTACAAAGCCTTCGACGTTGTCGTAGCGGCTCGTGTCGCTGCAGATAACGCACTCGAGGAGCGCGGTAGAGGAGGAAAAGGCCGACGCGGACGAGAGCGGACTCGACATGATGATGAAAATGGAGTGGAGATGGACCTGCGAGGCAAGGTAAGTGTTGAAGTGATCTTGTAGCAAGACGCGCTGCGGCGCGCAAAGACAATCATTAACTGCGCGCACTTGGATTCAGCATACTATTGTCGATTCGCTAGCGTGTTTTTACAAAATGTGTGAAAATTTCAACGAATTGTACGGTACGAGGTAGCGACGCCAATTTTTGTGACTGTGAAAAGCGATACGTCGCTTGTGAGTTATGACGAGCTTTACGAACGCACACTCAAGTAGCAAACACGGGATGGGCAGATGGGTTGGAACAAGAGGGAGCGGGACGAGCTCGCTGGACCGCTCGTGCACGCATCACGGCGGCGACAGATGTTTCACGCGGACAGGCCGAGGTTCGTTGAAGTGCGGCACCCGCGTCGCGCCGAGGACGCAGGGACATGCACAATGGCAAAGGCGTTGACACGACACGGCGGTAGCAAGCCATCGAGATTTGCTCAATGTAAGGAGGCAGCGCGGTTGGTAGTCGGCAAAAATGTCATCTTTGAATTTTCAAAAATCAAAAATATCACCTCGTGTCCGCAATTCTAGTGCGGCTTGTAGACATTGATTTACCCGTGAAATAGCAGTGTAGGTCGATTCAACGGGATGCCTTTTGGTGAATTGCACAGTCAAGTGGCCTTGTGGGCATATATTTCACTTCAAAAATGACATTTTTTTGGCGGGCGGTAGGGTAGGGTGCTCGCTCACACTGAGGCATCGTCCGGCCGGACCAGCGGCTTCACGACGATCGCAGCCGACGCGTGGAAATGGCGACGTACAGCAGGCAAGTGCTTTGAGCAAGCAACATTTCTCGTGGCATATGATGTGTCGATGGTCGATGGTTGAGGTTGTTGTTGTTGAAGTGGGGGTCGTCTATTGAAATACGTAAATCTACGCCAAATAAAATTGTCGGACTTTCTTCGTTGTGTAGGCGCTGGTGTTGTTAATCTTGATCTAGGCCGGCGGAGGCAGTTGCGCGATCCGCGGGACAAGGTGCTGGCGCGATCACTCGTGTTGAGCGAGGAGTTGGAGAAGGCGACGGAGAGCCATCTGCCCTGGGTTTTGAACGAGGCTGTGGTGCAAGTGCATTTGAGCGACACGCGCCGCTTTGACGGCAATCGTCCATGGGCTTGGCAGTGGGAGGTCGGCGCGAAAGACGCGATCGTGCCGGACGCGCCATGATGGTCGTCGTTGCCATCGCGCCTTGTGATCTAACCACATCCATGATTCATCATGAACCATCAACGCAGCTAAAATCGCTCTACGGCGCCGTTGTGCCTCGTCCAAGTGCTGAGAAAACTCGCTCGAGTGCCACCGTTCAGCACAACACAAGTGGCCGCACCGGTCGCATGACCTACCCATCGTGCGTGCGTCTTTGTCAGTCTCTCGACCACGCTGGATTAGTCGGCGAGCAAAATGACCTATTGCCCTTCCCTAGTGGGATCCTCGACATGCAGTGGATAACCCACTGCAACAGCGATGGCACCAGGAAGATGATACAGATAACGAGTTGGTTAGCGACTTCTTAGACGAAGTAGCCAATCGCAGCCATAATGGCCGAGCCAATGTAAAAACACACATAGATCGCCGTGCGCCGTGGCGTCGACTTGGCGTGGAAGTCGGCGTTGATCGTATACTGGTACGTCACGAGCTCAACGAGGCCCGTGTAGACGAGGATACCGCCGGCGATGGCCTCCAAGACACCGCTGACCCACAGCGCGGTGGTCGAGGTCGGGCTGTACGAATCACTAACAAGAATGCCAATGACAATACCAATCGGAGTCGTAATCGAAAAAAGAAACGCTGTGCGCAGCGCGGCTTTCAAGCCCGAGAACGCCGAGACCGACGACGTGCCAACGGCGACGCCTTCAAAGAACTGATGGCACGAGAGCGCAATCCAAAGCGTTAGGAACGTGTCGCCGTCGGCGACGCCGAGCTCGAGGCCAATGAGCACCGAGTGAATCGCGACGCCGACTTCAAAGATGATTGTCGTGATCTTCCGCCGCAAGATCGTTTGGGCCAATGTCGCTGTCGCTGGCACGCGCGTCATGCGGCGCATCTCGAGTGGCGACTCGGCGTCGTCGTAGTGGTCGTCCTTGGCCAGCATCGCGGGCGGCTCGTCAAAGATCGTCATCTCGGACGGCGATGGCCGCGACATGGCAATCACGAGCTCGGTCTCGAGCACTTGCATGATGTAGACCGTGGCGAGCACGATGACCATGGCAAGGCCCGTGTACGGCAAGTCGAGGCACGGGCTGTCGAGGTTGCGCATCGCGGGTGGGATCATGTGGACAAACGCTGTTGAGACGACGACGCCAAAGCCGAGTGCATTGAAGCACTCCATGACCTTGCGGCTGTTGCGGAGGCAAGCGAGGTATGATGAGAGCACGGGCAGCATGCTTCCGGCCAGCGAGCACAAGAAGATGACGGGCACGGACGCGATCTCGACCGCGAGGTCGTCGTCGCTCGAGCCGTCGCGGACGCCGCCGCAGGTAAAATTGACGGTCACGGTCGTCGCCATGTTGCAAGTTGCAGAGTGCAGCCACGCAGGCGCGCGACGCCGGGCGTGAGGCCAGTCGCGCAATGGCCCGATCCGGACAGGCGTCAACTTGGCCGGCCACCAGATTAGAGCCGCGGGCCCGGAATCAGCATCGATTTGACCTCTTTCCTTTGAGCAGCATACTTTAACCAAGACAAAATCAGCAATCATATGGTCGAGAATGGGTCGACAACTGGCGACGGTGCGAATAAGCTGCTATCGACGGCTACACGCCGTTTGTACGGCATCACTCGATACTTCGAGCCATTGAGTTGGTGTGCTGCCAGCGAGGGCGTCCTCGGAGCGTCCTACACCGGCGCAGCGACGTTGGTCCCAAAGGCTTGCGGCCCGTTCATTCCTGAAGTACGAAGTTTGGATTTGGGCTCACTTTTGCTTCGAACTTCGACCAGGCGGTGCGGTCGGCAAGGTATTGGCGCGAGTTCCGAACGCAAGGAACGACCGATCCTGCAGCTAGGCGTCGCCATGCAATCTCGTCGGCCTCGCTTTCTTGGTCTCAGGCGCGTCGGATCAGACGCTGACGCACTGCGTTATGTCGACGACGTTGCCGTTGCTTGATGCCATTTTCGATCGAGATTGCCCTTCAACCGGGAAGAAGCCGACGCGGTCTGAGCTACGCGTTTGCTCGCGAACGAAGCGCCTCGAGAAGCAAGCGAACGTCACGCTCCACCCGTGAGCAAATGCATCGCAGGAGGCTGTCGGCACGGGCGTGATTCGTATTGGTCGGAGAAGGCAGAGAGGTCGACGATTCATTTTGATGTCATCAGGTACCGTCGCCACTGTGGCACGTATCCGTTAGTCGAGTAAGACATGCGTTCTAGCAGGTGCTCTAGTCGCACTGTTATGGGACTCGTCACCTGTCCACAAGTCCACACACCCGAGCCAAGACCGACAAGTATGGAAGGTGCACGGCCACGGGTAAGCAGTGTCAGCAGCCAACACTGGTACCTCGGCAAGCACAGGTACTGCTCGACCGCGTGTATCGTTCGTTCGCCGCCAAGCCAGCCAGAGCCACTAGCACGAGTCTTGTTATGGCCGTGAGCACCGTTGTCCTTTCCGCCTCAACCGATTTTGTAGGCCCCCCTACGTTAAAGTCGAATTTTATTTATATTCATCCCGCCTCGACACTTGTTTTTGTATTCCATTAAAGTGTTGCCATTAAATAATATAATGACCACCCCTGGTGGAGTGATAGGCATCACGAGTGGCAGCTGTTGGAGTCGGGCACAGAACACGATGGTCGGCCTCCAGCACGCTAGCGCGATCGCGCTCCTCGCCTCGACGGCCTTGGGCGACTCGCTGCGCCAGGTCGCAGTCGTCTCCCGCCATGGCGTGCGCGGCCCGTATGGCCCCGACGGCCTCCCGCCGACGCTCGCCAACCTGCAGCGCTACTCCAAGAACGCATTCCCGTTCCTGGTCTCGGCTAAGGACTGGGGCACGTCGCAGAACGCGTCCGAGCTCGTCTCGCCCAAGCTCACGGCGCATGGCCGCAGCGCGATTCAAAAGATGGGCGAGGTCCGCTACATGCAACGGTTTGATGCGATGCTGACGACGGGCTGCTGCGTAGTACTTTGGCGCCCACTTGTACCCGTCGCTGGCGCAGCCGTCGACGTGCCACGCCACGTTTGCCTACGCCGACGACAACGAGCGTGACATTGTAGATCCATGCACCATGGTCTGGACGATGGCTCATGCAACTATACGGCGTAGGACACGGCGCAGGCGTTCCTGGACGGCTTTCTTCCATCGGCGTGCGCCACTGTCAAGCCCGACACGAATGGCTCGCGCCTTCTCTTTGAACAAGGCCAAGACCCGACGGCCGTGTGTCCTGCCACGTCACAGACGTGTACGCCTTCTGTGTGTTGTATCAAGTTGATACGGACGCAATCTGGAATTAGTGTACAAGGGCATTGTCGGCAATGCGACCGCCGACAACATTGTGCGGCACTTGGTGCCCGAGATCCAAGCACTCAATGACATTGTCGACTGCTGCCAGCCCGACGTGTGCGCGGTGGCGTCAGCGCGGGCGCTCTTGGCCGGTCCGCCGACGACGTGTACGCTTCTCACGGTGCCGTCGACCTGGGTAAAGACATTATGTCCACGAATGAGAGCTCATAGCAACCATAGAGTGGCAAGTTTTACGAGCCGTGGTCCGACGCGTTCTCGGAGGCGCAGTACCTCTCCGAGTGGTTTCTCCTCCAGAGTTTGAACAACATGCCGCTGCCGCCCAACAAGACGCTCGACGAAATGGTCGCATTGGGCCAAGTGCACAACGTACTGTCGATTAATGTGGACAGATTGTCGTATATCATTTGGACATAGGCGCACATGCAGCTGGTGACCAACCCGTTCAACGCCGAGAACTTTGGCAGCACGCTCCTCGTGCACTTGGTCGCGAGCATGGAAGAGGCGATCACGGGTGTCGCGGTGCCCATCGCGCCAGGACCGGGCCCGCACCTGCTCCACGACGTCGCGTCGCAGTTTTTGTTGTACGCGGGCCACGACATCAACTTGCTCTACCTCAAGAACCTCCTCCGGTACAATCCAAATCTGTGTTTCGGAAACTAATCTGGGACTCCACTAAAGCATGGAGTGGGCTACGAACGACTGGAACGTGAACCAGCCCAACCCCGGCAGTATGCTCTTGTTTGAAGTCCACGCCGACGCCAACAAGTCGGCGAGTACGTCCGAAGCAGATTTTTACGTGCAAGCGTACTTTGTCGCGGCCTCTCCGCAGCAAATCCGGGGTGCTGAGACGCTGTCGCCAATTAACGTACGACGACCTCCTTGCCTATGTCTTATTGGTCTTATTGGCTGCGATCTAGCCGCCGAACCGCGTGCCCGTGAGCATTCCGCAGTGCTCAGAAGATGTTCTTTTGACCAATGGCGACGTCCAAGTGCAATGTCGCTTTAAAGACTTCAAAGCGGTACGTCAACCTTGCGGCATCGACACACAGCTTCAATGCATGTAGACGGTCGGAAAGGCCATTCGCCACGCGTGTGTGAGCCCGAGCCTCCAAGCCTACGCGTCGACACTGCGGCACGAAGCCAACTCGATGCGCTTTGCATGGTCCATGGAAACGGTCGCCTTGGTGCTCCTCTCGGGCATCTTGCTCATCGTGACGTTCCGCTACATCCGCCTTGCGCGTGCCCATGCGTCGGCCGAGTACGGCAAGTACGCGCCCATTGTCTAGTCGGTCAAGGGTCCAACATGCGATCGTCCTCAACGGTCCTTGACGTTGCTGGTAACCCTAACCGCGATAAGAATGAACTGGACACTATACGAGTGATCAACAGGATGCGACGAAGCAGGCGAATCATCGCAGGAGGAGGTCGCGTCGGGTCATGCTGTCGTTGTGGTCATTGCGTGGGTGTATCGAGAGGCTGTGAGGCGATGCTGTATCTGTGCACTGGCACTGGTCAGGGCGTGTAGGAGCTGTTGAAAAGCTTTGTGTGAGGTACCAAGGGTATGTGAGGACTCAAGCGCGCTTGACGAAGCGGTCGGTGCTGTGACGCCACCGCGCGCCAAGGCGTAAACGTCTTTGCCTCCATCGTTTGTCTTATGGCAGTATGACGCTCTCGCCGCATCAGCGAATAGCAGCGGATGAGAATGCAACAAGAACCGTCGACGCGCCGTCTCGACCAACCCGTTTGCATTGGCGAGCGCTCGAAAGTGTGTAGTCTTTTCTACGCTTTCGATCGATAAATGAAAGTGATATACTTCTGTAGATTCTAACAACTAGTGGGTGGTTCTCTATGTTTATGCGTGGAGACCGGTGATCTTGTCGGTGGTCTGACGGCACATGGGGCACGTATTGTGCGTATAGAGCCACTCGTTGACGCAGTCGCGGTGGAAGCAGTGGCCGCAAGGGAGCTGCACGACCTTGCCGAGCTCATCAAACTCATCACGACTGTACTCGTAGGTGCAAATCGCGCACGTATCGAGCATTTGGTCGGTCGTCGCTTGCTGGAAACGAATGTCGCGGAGGCTCACGGGCACATCGAGGAACGTGTCGAGGAGTGCCATGAGCGTGGCGTGGGCGTCGCTCCGCGCGGTCGCTGGGTACAGGTAGCACAACGACCGGCAGTCGAGCGCGAGCCAGAGGTACTTTTTCAAAATCAGACTGCGCTTGCGCATCGTAGAGGCGCCGTACTTGTCGAGCACGAGCTTGGTGGGCAGCGACCCGCGCAGCAACGTCTTGGCGAGAAGTGAAAGCGAGGCGTCGTCGCACGCTACTAGGAACGCTTCGACCGTCTCGCGGAAGCCATAGAACGACGAGCAGCGCTTCTCAACGACCCAGCTGCGCTGCGTGATCGGGCACGTGACCTGGATCGAGTACTTGGTAAAGGCAAACGACCGGCGAATCTCGATCGCGCTCTCGCACGTCGCTCGGTCGTACGCGCCTTGGTCGCGCGGAAACGCCGACGAGGACGACGGAAGCAAGGACAGCGGGCGGTCGGCGAGCATCGTAGTACGGTGGTGGACGGTGGCGGAGACGGCGAGGATGGCTGGCGACAAGGCGGCTATGGGCTAAGCTGCCGGTTGGGAACTGCAATCATCACGCGCGATCGGTCCGGAATTCGTGTCTTTTCCATCTGATTTGCATCGAGACTTAAAACAGCATATATTTGACTTGTCTTTTGTAGCATAATACACATGTATACAAAAAGAATGGTATAAATGCGTATATCCGACTGAATATGGTCGCGGACTAGATAATGTTGACGGAGGTCGTGTCGTGCCACGACATTGCTAACACGATTTACGTTCCGAGATGCGATTGGACAAGCAAGGTCGAATGCAAATGGTGTACATACAGTATTTCAGTGAACATTTGATTGTGGGCAAGATCGTGGGACAAGCGGGGGTGAACTGCAAGGTCCACTGCAATTTGAAAATGACACGCGACCGATTTGTCCAACACCTGCGAAGCGTCATCTCTGATCATGAGCTTAGTTGCTGCCGAGGTGGAGGACGTGGACATGGTGCGTGCCTGTTGCAAGTCGTTATCCGAGATGGCAGCTTTGTACCTAGCATCCAAAGAGCCACCGGCCGGCTTTGGTGCAAAGGTGCTGCACGATGCTCGCAAGCTTCGTTTTCATAAACACTTCAAAAGATTGGTCCCCGTGTTGACGACAGGTCCGCTTTGCGTGAACAAACTTTGCGGCCATTCATTCTTGCATTTCGATTACTCGAGGGACCGAGGCGTATCAGCACAAGGGTGCGATTAGACAGTGTTGGTCCTGGTACACTGTTGTTAACAAGCTTTTCGTTTGAAAGATGTGTACAATCATGTCATGCACGCCCAATGATTGTGGTGACTCATTTCGACATTCGCGTTGGTGACGTGTCCTGGTCTTGACGACCGCCCTTCTCGACGGTATGAACTCGTAGGCGGGAACTCGACTCTGTCGACCGGCCTCACGCACCACCTCGTGGTCGGCGACGCCGGGTCTGTGACTAACGCACCCAGTCCATAGCTCGCAGCGCACTTGGCTCGCTTCCTCAGGAGCTGCTCTTGGTGTCCATTGGCGGCGCCGCGACAGGAGCATACGATGGCTGGACGTTCGTCATCTCCAGCTCTAAGATATATAAGCTCTCAGCGGACTATTTTGAACGAGATCTGACTCCTCACAGGTCCGATTTCAAAACCTTTATACCCAATCAAAAGGTGCCATTTGCGATCCGCCGCCCAGACCGACGTCGTCGCGTCGTGCTGCGAACATTCAAAATGAAATCGCTTATTTGTAAAGTGGCCCTCGTCCGCTGCGTTGGGCGCTCCTTCATGAAGGCTGCGGTCGTGACTTCCACCACAGCCTTCCTTGAAAATGGCATGTGCCATGTAAAAGTCCCTCGCGATGCCGCAAATAGTACAATTCGGCATATCTGCGCACACGATTTTCTAGCGCTGCAGGCCGCGCACCATGGTGCATCTTGGCGCTCCGCGTAATAAGAAGCAAACTTAATAACTCTACCAAGTATGAGCCATTTTGTATTTTGACCAAGGTTTGCCATCAATTTGCAATCGGGAACGCACCACGACAGTTTGCGTGTTACTAGCCACATTATCCGGATATCTGGCGCAGCCAAACCATCACCAGGTCGCACGGTCGACCACTTTGCGTTTGAAAATGAACTGGCAAAGACTTGGCACATAGATAGAGAACTCTTTGGAGTGTACGGGAAGCGAGATCGCGCTGCCGTGCGAGGCGTACAGCGGTAGCGAGACGCGATCCAAGGTACCGTCCAGACTAAGATCGTAGTGCCATCTTAGAGGCGCCACGACGCCGACGCCAAAGCGGACAGCATAACATTTCAAATGAAGGCGCCCAAAGTTGGCACAGTGATAGAAGACGCTTTAGAAAGCAGAGCAGACCGCGCTACGTCACCGCTGCAGGCCTAAAACGCGCGCAATGCTTGATCAAAGAATCAAAGCGCTCTTGAACCGTTAAAAAGCAAAAGCCCGCATTGGCACGCCGCAGCCTTCGACTCTTCCACTTGTAGTAGCGACGACCATCCCATCCCTTCCACTGCATCGAAAATGCGATACTTGGCAACCTTGATGCAAATACTACGTCCAAAGCCGTGGATCCAATGCAGCGATTCAATGCTCGGGCTATCGCACTCGCACTGATCTATCGTCACAACGTCCTCGTACGGCGCAAAATGTGATTGGTATGACGTGGCACTCGGAGAATGTTTCATTTGGGTGCAACGGTTCAGTCGTGTACAAACAAGCACGGCAAAGGCGAAACGCAGTGCTTTTACAAGAGAATTATAGCAATCGTGAGCGCTGCTCAGTCTCCAATGTGTCGCTCCAGCATTGGGTCGTGGCTGTTGGCATCGGTGCAGCAGCGCTGGTCGCAGCCATCGGCGCCGTAGCGGTAAAAAGGCCATTGCGGTTACGTTGGGCGTCTACGCACTGTGAGGTATATATTTGATGCGCCGAGACAATCGCTGACAGCGACAACGTCGGGCGTTTGAGCGAGGAGTGGGGCCGATGGCTTCGAGCCTTGTTGCGCTTGTGGCGTCGTTCCGAAACATCCGGATCGTATCCGGACACCACCAGCAAGTGCAATTCGACACAACAACGCCGCCGGCGCAGTGGGCGCTGCGAGCGCGTCACCTCGCAGCACAGAGCCAAATGGCTCTCATCTCGAGCACGTCACGTTTGGCGTCGTGCTGCTTGTATATAGCAGCCAGTACCGCGACCGCTGGCGGGTCCTTGACAGCATACACAACCTCTCGCCCGCCGCAAATCATTCGCCCAACGTCGCCTCCGATCCAATCTCTGCTTGAGGTAGTAAGTTACTACCTCAAGCAGAGATACATGTCTCGATCGCTTACTACTAGTAAGCGATCGAGACATGTCGCTCACAGCGTTGGCGCAGGCTGTGCCGTCTTTATGGCGCTGAGCCTTTTGTCTTTGCTTCATCACGCTGCAGCAGACTGCGGCAGACTGGACACGGCCACCTTTTTGGCAGCATTTGCCAGCCTCAACGCCGCGGCGTCAACGATTTTTCGAGCCGAAGGTACACGCACAGTACACGGCCAAGCACGAAACGACCGGCGCCAGCTTCCGCGTTCTTCCGGACGTGCCGATATGCTTGAGAGCCAACCGCCACGCAGTATGGACCGTCCACAAGCAACAAGACATTTTCAATGTAAGCGCATACCATCTGCGTCCATTCACATAGTATTTCTTTTATCACGACATCACTTTTTACTATACACTACCAGACTCGGTTTACTGCTGGACGCTGTGGCCTTCCTCGAGCACCTTGACTTCTTCGACCACATACGAGTCTTCGTTGGCCGACTCGAGCGCCTTCTCCCAGCCGTCCTTGCGGAACTCGCCCTCGAGCTTGGCCATGACGACCGACGCGAGGCAGTTGCCAAAGACGTTGGTAAACGTACGGGCCATGTCCATGAGCCAGTCGGCGCCAAGAAGCAACGCCACGGGCCAGCTCGGGATGTTGAACTGGTCGACGGTCGAGGCGAGCACAATGATGCTGGCCGAGCGGACACCGGCGACACCCTTGGACGAGATCATGAGCATGAGCACCATCGTGATCTGCTCGCCGACGCCCTTCTCAATGCCCGCGGCTTGCGCGCAAAAGACTGCCGCGAGCGAGAGGTACAAGGTCGAGCCGTCGAGGTTGAACGAGTAGCCAAACGGCACGACAAACGCCGAGATGTGGGGCGACACACCAAACTGAAGGAGGCACTCAAACACCTTGGGCAACGCGGCCTCGGACGTCGCGGTGGTGTACGCAATCACGAGCGGTTCGCGCATCGCAGCCAAAAACTCGAGCGGGTTGATCTTGAAGACAAAGAAGATCGGGCCAAAGACCACAATGATAAACACGACCAGCGTGCCGTACAAGGTCGCGACAAGCGCGCCGAGGGCCGCGAGCGCACCGACACCGTTGGCACCAATAGCGTTGGCCACCGCAAAGCACACACCGAGCGGCGCAGTCCAGATGACAATATCGACAAACTTGAACATCATTTCCATGACGGCAGTCGCGAGCTCAAGGAGCACTTGCTTGTGGTGGCCGTGCGTCTGCGCCGTCGCGACACCGACAAGGATCGACGCGACAAGGACTTGGAGAAGCTCCGAGCTGCCCGAGCCGCCCATCATCTCACCCCACGTCTTGGGCGTCAAATGGTTGATCCAGAGCGCAAACGTAAACGTCGACGACGACGACCCCGTGTAGTTGCCCTTCTTGGTGATGCCCGTCTTGCCGGGCTGGACCCAGTTGACGGCGAGAAGACCGACAATGAGCGCGAGCGTCGTCACGACCTCAAAGTAGATGAACGACTTGAGCGAGAGGCGGCCGAGCTGCTTGAGATCGTTGTTGCCAGCGATACCGACGATGAGCGACGAGAACACGAGCGGGAAGACGATAAACTGAATCGGCCGAAGGAAGATCTGGGCCATTGGCGCCGCGTCTTTGCCAAACGCCGGCGCAAACTCGCCAATGAGGATACCCGTGATCGTGCCGAGGATGATCCAAAACGTCAGCGACGTCAGAATCTTGCGCATCGTCGACTTCGGCGGGCGATCGGCTTCCATGGCATGGTAGACGGCCATACTTGTGCTCTTGTGTGGTTGGCAGCCAAATGCAAAATGAAGATGGTGGCGGTGCTCTCGGTTTGGCGGCCAAGATTTGTTGAAGGGATTACATCCGCGACCGGCTGGTGCTTGCTGCTTTGTTCGTTTTATTCGCCCTTTCTACGGGCTCCTTTCCTCGAATATTTATATTGCACGACGATCGCTATTACATTCCAAAGGGCAATTTCAGTTGGATTTTAAAAGAACCATTGCTGGCACCTACTTGAAGTTACCGTGAGATACCTGGATGATACGGCGCTCGCCAAAGCCGCGCGTGATGGCGTGATGCAGCCTCCCGATGGATTCCCAGAGCTTCCGATGACGTCCACGGACGTGTCGAACCAAGCGAAACCGGCGCCGTCGACCGTTGTACAAGGTAGTGGGATATTACGGTGCCAAGGTCCTCAGTGAGTTTCATGGAGCGTCCAGGATAGATGGCCGCCTCGTAAAGGCGCGTCCAGCTGGTTCTTTCGACTTCTAGAAAAACGTGGACGAACGTTCAACGCGATGCCAGCTGCTTGAACTTCTGAGAATATCAGACGGCAGCTGGTGGCGTTAGCACCGCGTTTAACGTCCGATGTCTTTAAACGCGACTAAAACGTTTATCGCTCGCCTTCGAGGTCGACAACACAAAGGCGCGCACCGACATAGAGGTTGGCTCGCATATACTCGGCTCGTTACGACTGGCGACTGGTGACGTACATCTCGTTTGCCAAGACACGGAGAGACATTGATGCGGGCCGACGGGCGCAGACCATCGCCTTTCTTGTCCTGTCGTCCGCAGTGACGATACGAAAAGCCTACTTTTCACTCACGTGACGGGGCAGCCCATCAATGTCCACTCGCCATGCATACTTGCGGCTTCAATCTTCCGGCCTCGTATGTGGGCACAGAGGATGGCCTGTCGGGACGCGGTGGCCGTTGGACTACGAGGTAGTGTCACTGACCACAAGATGTCTTTACATGGCGGTAGGTCGGACAGTATCATCAAGCTTGGCACTCATGACACTGCGAGATCAAGCTCGAAGAAGAAACTCGAGATAACGCCGGTCCCAGTGCATCTGTAGTGTTCTATCCCGTTCCCAGGCGCGTAGTGTAAATGGTTCGTTCGCTGGTATGAGGACAGGTGGTACATGTATGGTTAGCATTGGTCCTGCCATCATCGCTCACGTCCAACGTTTGATTGTCCTGTTGTCGTTGTGGGTCTATTGTGAGCCGATTAAAACGCATTCAACCGGTTCTACCTGTTTGACGCACGCGTAAAAGCCAACGAATCGGAATATTACGTGGGCAAGACGTCAGCAACAGGTGGCTGCTTGCGACTGGATCTGCCCGATCACGCTACCAGCCGTGGCGCCGTGTGTCGCTCCCAACCTGGCTTCCAATCAATGGTTTAGCCAGTCGTTAACGACGCACCCAAATCGGCTTTGGTCTCGATCTCTTGACCTTGATCCGGGCACCTAGACGCGTCACCGTCGAGCTGATCCTGCAGCCCCTCGCAAATGGGTGGCCCGAGTGCAGCAGTGCTTCGTACTCTTCCAGTATACTACTTGCAGCTAGATACTGCCATGCCGGCCAAGCCAAAGGCTACTTGTTGACGTGTCGAATGGATGGCACGTCTCGAATTCTCAGATCTGAATCGCACGCAAACAGCACCACACACCACTGCGCAAACACCTAAACACCTTCGGAAATGTGAAAAAGTATATCTTTGTCGAGATACAAGAGCTGGCGACGAGCAGCTCGCGAAGCTGATCGGCGAGTGCTCGGCGATTCGTTACCGAACGCAACCAGGATATGCGTGCCGGGCAAGCCCCGGCTACTCGAGCGCAAGTAAGCGAAGGAGGATCAAAATCTGTCGCGCTGGAAGCACGGAGAGCTCACGGAGAATGAAGAAGCCAATGTGCTTTGCCGAGTTTGTAGCCCATCACTTGGTGCATGATAGGGAAGGAAAGACCGGAAGCGGAGAATGCTTGAAAGCTCCTCTTGGCTCCGCGAGCTCGCATCCTGAAATACAATATCAAAACGCAAAAAAGAGCATGGGATTGTACTCAATTCGATGCGATCTCTCGATGAAGGACCCAGAGCGAACACTCAACGAACCTTCCTGCAGTCCTTTCTATCGATAGGACCTGGTTGGGTCGTGGTCCTGACGCACAGGGCATCGAGGCCTTTGTGGATCGAGAGCCACGGACTGTACGAAAGTCGGACGGTGACAGGACTTCGTCACACGGCGACGGCGGCAGTCGCATCGCGCGATCGACCTCAAAGGCACTAGAGGTCCTCTTCTCCGATCGTGAGAGGTTGGTCAACAAGGCCAAGCCTGTCGAACGATCGAGCGAGAAAGTGTGCGACCGCGATTCCATCCTGCGAGGCTGTTTGCATTGGTACTAGTAGGTAGTACAAAACGACTTTTGAAGTGTAGTGCCGGTACTGGGAAGACGAGCGAGTGGGCTCGAGCACGCCCTCGAGTCGGCAAATGTCGTCGTCCGTGGCCAGCGACGCACTGCTGACGTCACCACAAGGACAGCACACAGAGAACCAGTGATAGCGATGCATAGTTTTGTCATTCCACCACCTCCAACGATCGCACGGACTGGGATAGTCGCAGAAAACGCTGCGGTCTGGACCAATGTATCACCGACATTGGCGATAGAGATTTTTGTGTGGAAGCGTCTGCCATTTTGCGGCTATCATGGTGGCGTCAACACAGACAACCCGCTGTCGACACGGGAAGAGTTGCTCGCTGCGCAGTGGCTGTGCTTTCGGTTGATGCGTCGTAGCAACTGCGACACGAAAGCATTTCTACTTTATGAAACGTGGCGACGGTAATACAACCTCCTCGGCATGCAGCGTAGAGCTCCTTGAATAGGTAGGGTCCACGCAAACACTGCCATACTAGAGAGCAACCAAAAGCAAGTGTGACCCATGCTGCAAACAGTAGCAATGTACCAGTACGTTGGATGAATATGGTCGTTTTGAAGTGTGCGAACCAAGTGTGATGACATAATGTTCTGCCCCGTGGCTGCCAAGAGAGCACCTCAGCGGTTCAATAGGCCCACGTGCAAGACGCGCGCCATTGGTTTGTGGCACAAACCATATACTGCACAAACTTTGTGCAGTACGCTCACGCGGTCTTTACGCTCTGTCAGCAGACCGAGGTCGAGCTCATCTCGGGCTACATCCAGAAACTCTCGCGCACGGTGGGTCGGGCCGAGCGACTGGACCCGGCGGACGACGCGGTCGAGCGCATCCGAGTGGCCGTGCGGTTTGTGCTAGAGCACTATGCACGTGTGTTTCGGCGCGGCCTCGAATCCAAGGCGCCGAGTGATCCAGCGGTGTTGCGCAAGGCGTCGGCGTGGTACTACGTGGGCTACACGCACCACGAGCAGATGCAAGGGCTGCTGCCGTACCGCAGCTTTGCGTGGCTGGCGCTGGAGCCGATGCTTGTCCTATTTCGCCCAGATCGCCAGGTGTCGTCGACCTCGCACCGGTAATACTCCAAGTTGATTGGCTGTAAACTTTGATTGCGTCTTTTTGATTGGCGGATCGAAATTCACATGCGCACCAATGACATCGCAGCACCGTGCCGAACCCAGTCACCTTCGCCGATGCTCACGGTCGAGCTGATCGAGGCACAGGCGAGAGCCCGCGAGGCGTCGCGACGCGCAGAGGACCGCGCCAATGCCTACAACAACAACTTCGCAAGCATCGTGTCGAGCACCACCAGCGTCGTTGCAGCGACCATCACCAACGTCCCGTCGGATATGACGGCGGCCGACGTGGCCAAGTTTTGCCGACAGTGCACCAACTTCTACGGCGGCTTTCTCTCAGTCAGCATGGCACCGTACACTGCCAGACGACGAGGCCGGTCCACAGTGTTTATGGCGTCGCGCCTCTTCCATGCGCTTGTCTTGGCCCTCGACGGCATCTTCTGGCAGGGCGAGGCCATCCGCGTGCGCGAGGCGGCCGCCGTCGGTCGGTCTGTGTGCACCGACGTCACAAGCAGCGTCTTTTACTGCAAGGCCCTGTGTGTGTTGCCCACTGCAGCGAGCGACCAGCCCTCTTTTGACACCGTCGACGTCGTCACGCTCACGTGCTCGAGCATGGACGCGACGACCTTTGCGATTGCGTTTGACGGCGAAAACGACTACCGCTACCGCGTCTGCTTACAGGTCACCAACGTCGTTCGCTGTCGCGTCGGAAGAGACGATGACGATCGCGTGGTTGCCCGGTTTACTTTGCGGACCCCGCCGTTCGTCTATATCGGTGACCGGCGAAAGACGGACGAAGACCGCGTCTGGCCGATCGCGGATGCTGCGTACAAGTGGGAACGGTCCGATGATCCGTCGCCCAACGGCGCCTTTGGCCACTGCCGATGCTACCATCTCGTGCTCGAATCCGCAGCCTCGCCAGACACCGTCGTACCGTTGCTGCGGAGCTTTGGCCTTGCAGACGTGACGCGCCAAGACAGGCTCCCGGTATTCACCAGCGTCGCGTCGTCGTCGCCGCCACCAACCGACTGGGTGTATGCCCCTACGTCCGAGTTGCACGACGTCTCGTTTCCGCTGCGCTATGCGCTGCATGTTCTCATGTCCCAAGAGGCGTTGGTCGTCACCACCACCGACGACGCCAGGTACGTGGCATACATTCTGGACCACTCGAAGGCGTCGGCGACCGACGTCGTCGGCTTTTTATACTCGTCGCTGCGCGCACCGGTCGACGGGCCACCGGATATACAAGCCTTTGGCAATTGGCTCTCGAATCTACCACGGCACCACCGCAATGTCGAACCGTTGCCGTTGCCGACGTCAACGACGCCTATCAACGCCGACGAACTG